TTGTCCCATACTTCCATTGTCTGTACCACTACCAACAGACATTGTCCCAGAGTTCCATTGTCTGTACCACTATCAACAGGCATTTTCCATTGTCCCAGAGTTCCATTGTCTGTACCACTATCAACAGTCATTGTCCCATAGTTCCATTGTCTGTACCACTATCAACAGACATTGTCCCACTATCAACAGAGTTCCATTGTCTGTACCACTATCATTTTCCTACAGACATTGTCCCTGTACCACTATCAACAGTTCCATTGTCTGTACCACTATCAACAGGCATTGTCATAGAGTTCCATTCTGTACCACAGAGTTCCATTGTCTGTACCACTATCAACAGGCATTGTCCCAGAGTTCCATTTTCCTACCACTATCAACAGGCATTATCCCAGAGTTCCATTGTCTGTACCACTATCAACAGACATTGTCCCAGAGTTCCATTGTCAGTACCACTATCAACAGACATTGTCCCAGAGTTCTATTGTCTGTACCACTATCAACAGACATTGTCCCACAGTTCCATTGTCTGTACCACTATCAACAGACATTGTCCCAGAGTTCCATTGTCTGTACCACTATCAACAGACATTGTCCCAGAGTTCCATTGTCTGTACCACTATCAACAGACATTGTCCCATACTTCCATTGTCTGTATCACTATCAACAGGCATTGTCATAGAGTTCTATGTCTGTACCACTATCAACAGACATTGTCCCAGAGTTCCATTGTCTGTACCACTATCACCAGGCATTGTCCCACTATCAACAGTTCCATTGTCTGTACCATTATCAACAGACATTGTCCCAGAGTTCCATTGTCTGTGCCACTATCAACAGACATTGTACCAGAGTTCCATTGTCTGTACCACTATCAACAGACATTGTCCCAGAGTTCCATTGTCTGTACCACTATCAACAGACATTGTCCCAGAGTTCCATTGTCTGTACCACTATCAACAGACATATTGTCCCAGAGACATTCCATTCCTACATTGTCTGTACCACTATCAAGGCATTGTCCCAGAGTTCCATTTTCCCCACTATCAACAGACATTGTCCCAGAGTTCCATTGTCAGTACCACTATCAACAGACATTGTCCCAGAGTTCTATTGTCTGTACCACTATCAACAGACATTGTCCCACAGTTCCATTGTCTGTACCACTGTCAACATACATTGTCCAAGAGTTCCATTGTCAGTACCACTATCAACAGGCATTGTCCCATACTTCCATTGTCTGTACCACTATCAACAGGCATTTTCCCAGAGTTCCATAGTATGTACCACTATCACCAGGCATTGTCCCAGAGTTCCATTGTCTGTGCCACTATCAACAGACATTGTCCCACAGTTCCATTGTCTCTACCACTATCAACAGGCATTGTCCCCAAGCTCCATTGTCTGTACCACTATCATAGACATCATCCTCCAGTTCCATTGTCTGTACCACTATCAACAGACATATTGTCACAGAGTTCCATTGTCTGTACCACTATCAACAGACCATTGTCTGTACCACTATCAAGGCATTGTTGTCTGTACCACTAGAGTTTCCATTGTCTGTACCACTATCAACAGGCATTTTCATAGAGTTCTATGTCTGTACCACTATCAACAGACATCGTCCTCGGGTTCCATTGTCTGTACCACTATCAACAGACATTGTCCCACAGTTCCATTGTCTGTACCACTATCAACAGGCATATCAACAGACATTGTCCATTCATTGTCTGTACCACTATCAAGGCATTGTCAGAGTTCATATTGTCCACTATCAACAGACATTCCTCGAGTTCCATTGTCGGTACCACTATCAACAGACATATTGTCCCAGAGTTCCATTGTCTGTACCACTATCAACAGGCATTGTCCCATACTTCCATTATCTGTATCACTATCAACAGACATATTGTCCCACTACCAACACACATTGTCCTATAGTTCTATCGTCTGTACCACTATCAACAGGCATTGTCCCAGAGTTCCATTGTCTGTACCACTATGAACAGGCATTGTCCCAGAGTTCCATTGTCTGTACCACTATGAACAGACATCGTCCTCGAGTTCCATTGTCTGTACCACTATCAACAGACATTGTCCCAGAGTTCCATTGTCTGTACCACTATCAACAGACATTGTCCCAGAGTACCATAGTCTGTACCACTATCACCAGGCATTGTCCCAGAGTTCCATTGTCTGTACCACTATCAACAGGCATTTTCCCAGAGTTCCATTGCCTGTACCACTATCAACAGACATATTGTTCCAGAGTTCCGTTGTCTGTACCACTATCACCAGGCATTGTCCAAGAGTTCCATTGTCTGTACCACTATCAACAGGCATTATCCCAGAGTTCCATTGTCTGTACCACTATCACCAGGCATTGTCCCAGAGTTCCATTGTCTGTACCACTATCACCAGGCATTGTCCCAGAGTTCCATTTTCTGTACCACTATCAACAAACATATTGTCCCAGAGTTCCATTGTCTGTACCACTATCAACAGACATTGTCCCCGAGTTGTTCCTGGTTACTTCGATACTTACTCATCCCAGACTCCGAAATGGCAGGAGTCAATGTCGAAATCTAGAATGTCAGGAAGGATTAACAATTTAAAAAGGGGGTCCAATTACCTCTAAAGAATAAGTAAATAGTTTCTGTGTTATTCTGAAGTTGTAGACGATAGCCGGTATACACTTACCAATCATCAGGAATTAAAACGTCCACTGGAGAACTGTGTTTTAAGCTCATAAACATCGGAACACACCAAGGTGTAGTACAACTAACTTATTAAAAGACACTATGTATATTTATGAATGACAAAATATCGCGCGGATGTTTAGTTTGCCGTAACCTGCATGCCACATTTGGAACAGTGGCATGTTTTAGAATATACACCTGAACTTGCTGTGCTTCTAAAATTATACGATCTACGAAATTAACAGAATTGATAGAATATTGGAGCTAGTGCCTCTCCCAATTTAGATATTGACATTTTGTCTGTCACTTCACTTCCGGTTACCCTCAGTCGCCTCCTAGGCATCAAAACCTAGGTCCTTGGCAGCAATGACGAGTTCTTGCAGGACGAAACAGCTGTATGATGCAATTGAATTTATAGTTTGGCTCTACTGTATCTATTTCTAAATGATTTTGTAAAGGGTGCTATTCACTCCATGTCTCTTTTGTACAATGTTCTACTACTGTTTAGTGATATCTCACGCCGAAACTTCGGAAATCTATTAGAGTATTAGGTAATCGCTCAGAACATGGATGTCTAAAGGAGTGAGGGCGCACGAGAAACATAATGGATTTAATTAAGAACCGTGTGATTGAATCAAGTCGTCAACTACTTCTTCAAAAGTGTTGTCAGTAGCCCAGCAAAACGTCATTTAAAACGCTCAATATCAGCTGATAACTAAGTGTACCAAATCTCAAATATTACGCTAGAATTCATTTTACATTGATATATTTCCTGTCAAACAGCCTTTCCTAACTTAAGTACGCGTGTATTCTGAAGCGATGCCATTAATACTTGCTGAAGAGCACACCTTCTGGATTTTCTTGTCTCGGTGTCGCTGTAAACAGAGATCTTCATGTATCTTACGTTCACTACAGTACAATACTTATTCTACAATTTACACATACATACCATGAATGTTAGAACATTTTAAAACATTATCTTAAAATTTTGAAAGGGAAATGAAAAGAAATGGCCTTGTGAGTAATTTGCTTTCTAACTCTTACTAAGGTACGATTAGTCTGTTGACATACCAAAACAGGACAAAGTAGCACCCCCCCTTCCCTGTCCAAAAATCAATGTATTAAACTGGACTGTGATCTTGTGTACCTACACCATGTTTTATTTCGATAGGTATGGAGTCATAACATCAAAATTTTGTATTTCCTCAATACATAATGCCTTTTCGTGTTTCTGTGTTGAAATAGTCTGTGGTCGTGATCACAGTCAGGACAATGATTTCATGTTACATATCAAAATGGTATAAATATTGGTAAATCGGTGGTATCTCATGTCCGATCATTTTTTTTTCCTGATTCAGTTATATGTAATTATTATCTTTCACACACGAGAACATTTCACATGACTTCCTCTACTTATTTAGCGCCCAATCAACAATTCATTAATATCTACCTAACCCATGTGTTTTGAAGCGCCATAAATACGCCCAAGATTACATTCCCTGTAGTGTAAGCTTTGTAGTGAGAACTGTAACTCGTCATAATTCCCACAAAGCATTGTGTGATTTCTAAGGTTATTTTAAGACCACCCACATACCCTGTGTTCATGTTTATCATGTATGATAAAATTGTGTATTAATCTCTCTGCCGACAAAACCACTTTTGTTATGTTTTTTTTTTTATTTTCCTTACTCCAACACTTTGTAACGTAGTCTCTTCTACAAGTTTCTGTATTCTTTTATCGTAAAGATAGATGCTCCAGTGAAAACCACGCACGGTACTTCCTTTATTAATTTCACTTCACGGTGATTGGTTGTAAATGACCTTTATCATATGTAGTATTGTGAACTTTGTATCTATTTTATTGATCAGTATTTCGAATATTAGCTGAAACTATTTTAAGAAAACATAACTTACTGAACAATATCCGTGATGCGCTGATATTGATGAAAGAACTGTTATTTTATATTCCTTGAAAGAGAAGTGGAGAGTTAACGTAAAAGGCCGAGAAGTCTCTGTTGTCTGTGATGGTAAATTAGGACTTTCCTACCGTTGTAGACTTATAGGAAACCCAAGTTGAAACAAGCGGAGCATCAATGCGGGCTAAATTACAGGCAGTGTATATAAGAATGTAACTTGTACGCACATTAGAGGGTAGACAGTCAGAACCGACCTTTTCATCTCTAACGTAATAAGTAGGACATTATGAGCAGCAGAAGTGTTCCCCTTTGATCAGAGAGTGAAATGGAGCTTTATTATTATCATCTGCTTTATATACCATATATTAAGTAAGAGCTGTTGTAGTTTACAGCCCAAATGATCCGGAGTCGTTGATGAAGAGCAGCACCTCGATAGTGGAGGGAGTCGGGTTATCACTTTTTGGAATCTATCACGTCGTTATCATCATCGTCCTCATCAATATGCTGATCGCCATGATGAGCCACTCGTTCGAGGACATACAGGTAAGTCTAAAACAAAATAACGTTACCCCCAAATAATGCAATCCATTTAAGGTTTTTATTTGAAATAATCCCTGGTGGTATATATTTTTATTGTCGTATATGCACCATCAGGCAGTCATACCTATAGTAGTTCTGTCCAATTGTGTTCTCAGACTCTGTTTCTTGTTTGTTTCCTTTTTTGTGTACATTGCACACTGTTCTGTTGTGGTATTTCTGTGTGTACATTACACACTGTTCTGTTGTGGTATTTCTGTGTGTACATTACACACTGTTCTGTTGTGGTATTTCTGTGTGTACATTACACACTGTTCTGTTGTGGTATTTCTGTGTGTACATTACACACTGTTCTGTTGTGGTATTTCTGTGTGTACCATTTCACACTGTTCTGTTGTGGTATTTCTGTGTGTACATTACACACTGTTCTGTTGTGGTATTTCTGTGTGTACATTACACACTGTTCTGTTGTGGTATTTCTGTGTGTACATTACACACTGTTCTGTTGTGGTATTTCTGTGTGTACATTACACACTGTTCTGTTGTGGTATTTCTGTGTGTACATTACACACTGTTCTGTTGTGGTATTTCTGTGTGTACATTACACACTGTTCTGTTGTGGTATTTCTGTGTGTACATTACACACTGTTCTGTTGTGGTATTTCTGTGTGTACTGTGTGTACCATTTCACACTGTTCTGTTGTGGTATTTCTGTGTGTACATTACACACTGTTCTGTTGTGGTATTTCTGTGTGTACATTACACACTGTTCTGTTGTAGTATCTGTGTGTACATTACACACTGTTCTGTTGTGGTATTTCTGTGTGTACATTACACACTGTTCTGTTGTGGTATTTCTGTGTGTACATTACACACTGTTCTGTTGTGGTATTTCTGTGTGTACCATTTCACACTGTTCTGTTGTGGTATTTCTGTGTGTACCATTTCACACTGTTCTGTTGTGGTATTTCTGTGTGTACATTACACACTGTTCTGTTGTAGTATTTCTGTGTGTACATTACACACCGTTCTGTTGTGGTATTTCTGTGTGTACCATTTCACACTGTTCTGTTGTGGTATTTCTGTGTGTACCATTTCACACTGTTCTGTTGTGGTATTTCTGTGTGTACCATTTCACACTGTTCTGTTGTGGTATTTCTGTGTGTACCATTTCACACTGTTCTGTTGTGGTATTTCTGTGTGTACCATTTCACACTGTTCTGTTGTGGTATTTCTGTGTGTACCATTTCACACTGTTCTGTTGTGGTATTTCTGTGTGTACCATTTCACACTGTTCTGTTGTGGTATTTCTGTGTGTACCATTTCACACTGTTCTTTTGTGGTATTTCTGTGTGTACCATTTCACACTGTTCTATGTGTACTATTTTGCATCAGTCTGGTACCGTTCCTGTATTGCATGATCACATTAACATCAGACGTTATCTTCCTTTGATGCGTACCATCATACACAATTTTGTTGTTTCATTATAACCTTTTCTGTTCTTGTAATCAGATGGTTCTGTTCTTGTATTTCAATTTGTTCTGTTCTTGTAACAATCAGTTCTTGTATAGTGTTTCTGTTCTTGTACATCTGTAAACAATCAGATGGTGTTCTGTTCTTGTACATCTATTAACAATCAGATAGTGTTCTGTTCTTGTACATCTATTAACAATCAGATAGTGTTCTGTTCTTGTACATCTATTAACAATCAGATGGTGTTCTGTTCTTGTACATCGTTTATCTGTAAACAATCAGATGGTGTTCTGTTCTTGTACATCGTTTATCTGTAAACAATCAGATGGTGTTCTGTTCTTGTACATCGTTTATCTGTAAACTTCAGATAGTGTTCTGTTCTTGTACATCGTTTATCTGTAAACAATGAGATGGTGTTCTGTTCTTGTACATCGTTTATCTGTTAACAATCAGATGGTGTTCTGTTCTTGTACATCGTTTATCTGTAAACAATCAGATAGTGTTCTGTTCTTGTACATCGTTTATCTGTAAACAATCAGATGGTGTTCTGTTCTTGTACATCGTTTATCTGTAAACAATCAGATGGTGTTCTGTTCTTGTACATCGTTTATCTGTAAACAATCAGATGGTGTTCTGTTCTTGTACATCTATTAACAATCAGATAGTGTTCTGTTCTTGTACATCTTTATCTGTAAACATCGTTGGTACATCTGTAAACAGATCAGATAGTAAACAATCAGATGTTTCTGTTCTTGTAAACAATCAGATGGTGTTCTGTTTATCTGTAAACAATCAGATGGTGTTCTGTTCTTGTACATCGTTTATCTGTAAACAATCAGATGGTGTTCTGTTCTTGTACATCTGTAACAATCAGATGGTGTTCTGTTCTTGTACATCGTTTATCTGTAAACAATCAGATGGTGTTCTGTTCTTGTACATCGTTTATCTGTAAACAATCAGATGGTGTTCTGTTCTTGTACATCGTTTATCTGTAAACAATCAGATGGTGTTCTGTTCTTGTACATCGTTTATCTGTAAACAATCAGATGGTGTTCTGTTCTTGTACATCGTTTATCTGTAAACAATCAGATGGTGTTCTGTTCTTGTATTTTTGTGTTTACCATCAGGTTGTGTTCTTGCTTTTGTTTTGGGGGTGCGGATAGGGGTTGTGTTCTGATCTGTGTTTACATCAGATGGTGTTCTGTTTAGGGGGGGTTACATTGTTTTGGTTATCTGTGTTTACCATCAGGTGTTGTTCTGTATAGGGGTGGGGTTAATTTGATTTGTTTATCTGTGTTTACCATCAGGTTTTTTGTGTTTTTGTATCTGTGTGTAAGGTCAGAAAGAACTTTATTTATCTATTTTTTATTTATTTAGTTTCTGTGTGTGGCTTCAGATTTTGTTTTGGTAGTTCTATGTGTCAATGATTCGCTGCTATTTCTCCTACGAGTATCATCAAAACCGCTTATGGCAGTCTTATGTCTATCTATAAATGTTCCTTGTCACTAAACATAATGGTGTTTCCTGTTCTCAGATGTCAATATTTGTTCGATAGAACGAGTTGTGATTTCCACAATGGATTTCTCTTTAGGTGTTCTCTGTACATATCCGATGTGTTCGTTTGTCTTTTGATTATACCAACGACAGAGGACAAAGATCAATGGTTAGAAGTAGTTTATGTAATTCAACATGAACGGATGCTGTCCTATCCGTCCTTTGTAGGAATTCTGAACCTGCCTAGTTTTATACAGTGATTATATCAGATGATATTCTGACAGTCGTTATCTATCGTAACGGCTCCAACAAAATACCCTATTATAGATGTAGATCAGTGTACAGTATATATAGTTTGTTTTGTCGTTTACTTGTATTAATGTCGATAAAATCGTGAAACGTTTGCCACTTTGTTTGAAGTCGACTTGGTGTGATTACATTCTGTTGTAAAACATAGAGGGTTGGCAGTTACGTAGCCAACTAATCGTACACCGCAAGCCTCGCACCCTTCCTGGAGGGCGGTATTCTCAAACAACTCTCGGCAGCCAGCACAATGGGAATATATTTGACTACTTGAGCATGGGGTTCCAATTATAGACAGTTAGTGCAATCGACTGAAGCCTTGCGTGAGAAACTTCTGTTTTACAACTTCTAAACACTAGTGTTGCTCTTCCACTTATTACTGCAATATCAACCGTGAAGTCGACATATTTCCTACTACCCCAAGTGTAAACCTGAACGCGCCATGTCTCTTTACAACCTCTCGATATATACGAACGCGCACAGCTTCTTTACTGTGTCATTTTAAACCCGAACGTGTGGCATTTCTTTACAAACTGTGTTAAATACGAATGCAAACTGCTTATTTACCGTCTCATTTTAAACCCGAACGCGCCATGTCTCTTTACAACCTGTGTTATATTGGAACACGCACTGCTTATTTACTGTCTCGTCGTACCCCGAACGCGCCACAATTCTTTGCAACCTGTGTTAAATACGAACGCAAACTGCTTATTTACCGCCTCATTTTAAACCCGAACACGCCATATCTTTTTACAACCTGTGTTAAATACGAACGCAAACTGCTTATTTACCGTCTCATTTTAAACCCGAACGCGCCATATCTTTTTACAACCTGTGTTAAATACGAACGCAAACTGCTTATTTACCGTCTCATTTTAAACCCGAACGCGCCATATCTCTTTACAACCTGTGTTATATACGAACGCGCGCTGCTTCTTTACTGCTTCATCGTAAGCTGAACGCGCCATGTCTTTTTACAAACCCAGGGGTATATACGAACGCGCGCTGCTTCTTTATTTTCTTGAGTGTGGATCTTTGCGCATTATATCTCGTTACAAACCCCCTAGTTTTTTTATTCCATTGTTGACACATCATGTCACACTCCACTCTCTTCATACACCAGTTCACAAGTTGTGCTCCTTCATTTTCCTATAACAGCCGTGTATGTTACGTAGTTTTACTTTTTTCCCTATTTCAATCAAACATTTGTATTGATGCTATATTTCAGACCGACTGTGATGTGGAGTGGAAATTTGCCCGGACGAAGTTGTGGCTAAATTACATGGACGAAGGCAGTACCTTGCCCGTGCCCTTCAACATGATCCCATCCATTAAGTCCTTCTGTTACTTGTGGAAGTTTTGCAGGGACTTGTTTGCTATGGCTGATAGTAATTGGCTGGTTTACCAGAAAGCTAGAAAACAGACATTTATCAAGGTAACCTGTAAATTTGTTGATCACGGGTCTTTAACCATCGTGTTGTTTCAAATGTATTACGAAGTGGTAAACAAGCAACAGCTGTTATTTTAGTCTTGTCGTCATGGTAACACGTTTTTAGGTAGGGCTCGAGGATTTTGGTCAATGTGTTTTAGTATATAACCGACTACTGATCGGTTACCTGTCTGTTACAGTAACGTTGCATTCATTTCAATGGTTAACACTTTCCAAATAGGTCACTGTAGAGTTGTTATCGTTAATTTCAACATGATCAGTTATCCTTAGTGTGTTCATAAATCTAATTCCTTTAATTTTCCTTTATCTATAAATAATATATAGATAATAAGATGTTTGTGAACTATTTCGGTGTGAATGATGTTTTGTTGAAATTTATGGCAAGTGTGGAGTGTCAGAATCTTCCTGTGCGAGGTTATATTTTGTAAACATGAAATCTGATCCCAGGGAACTATCCCTGACAGTATTCACACATATGTCTGAAAAAGAAAAGTTGGTCTTAAAAAACCTATGGTAGTGTATCCTGTTAAATTGTGAAATTCGACGCACATTGTTGTTTCACGGCATTTATATATACAAGGATGATATGCACGTGTATATACTGGCGACGTTCACACTGTACTCTACTAGAAAGGTGTTTCACGGAATTTACATATTGGGTAGGATAAGATCTATATACTGGCGACGTTCATACTGTACTCTACTAGAAAGGTGTTTCACGACATTTACATACTGGGAAGGATGAGATTTAAAATAGAGGATGATATGCACGTGTAGATACTGGCGACGTTCACACTGTACTCTACTAGAAAGGTGTTTCACAGGCGCTACATTGAACGGTACGTGGCGCCGTGTAAACATCTATCTTGTGGTGTCCAAATATCGGCATTGTCGCTTTATAGGGTGTTGTTAAAATATGTACCGTGACGATAAAAAATGATGATGTCCAATTATCAATCTTGACGCCAGGTAAACATCAACTCAGTAGTATCCAATATCATATGGTGGTGTTCAATTATCAATCCTGACGCCAGGTAAACGTGTATGTTTGGTGTGTCCAGTTGTCGGTCTTGGCGCCGGGTAAACGTGTATGTTTGGTGTGTCCAGTTGTCGGTCTTGACGCCGGATAAGCATTTATCTGGTGATATCCGATTTTCAGCCATGAATTCGGATAAACATGTTTCTGATAATGTCTATATATCAACCCTGAAGCCGATGTACAAATATCAATTTCGAAAATACTTTGCTGTATTTATTGGTGGTGTTCAGTTGGAGTAATGAATATTTAGGGTATATCGATTAAGCATTCACTATCTCGCTTTGTATATATAGGTTGATATCCAGCTGGTTATTGGGGTGTTTGGAGGTGCTAAACTTAGTATTGCTAATATCAGATAGTATATTTGTCAACATTGATTGACTTTGTATGTTTCGTGTTCAATTTAGGAAATGAAGATGTTGAATTAAATATAAGTATGAAAACATGTGCTGTGGGTATTAAGTTTTGTACAACTTAAACCTAAACATGTTAGGATAAGTACAGATACAAAGAAAAAAGTCATTTTGAACAAATTTCTGACATCAATTTAAAATCAATTAACCGAGGAGACAATGTAAAGGAAACACTTACACGGGAACATTTGGAAAAGTAAACACAATAAGGTCGATATTCCAGAGGGCAAAACGCTTTCAGTTCATCAACGAAAAGTTTCAAATAGGTTCAAGTCAATCCAAGTAATGGAATGTTCCCAAAATAAGTATCGAGTACACAATAAACATAATGCACATGGAAATGGGATATTTCCCTAAGATATTGGTATCTAATATCTCATATTACAAAAATATCCTTTAGATTTTCTATATAGACCGTTATTTTCTTAACGCATTTAGTCGGCCACAGAAGAATAGCAGTGTTATTGCAATATCTTTATTATAATATATAATCATTTGGAAACATTCATGACACATCGATATATACATTTTAATTGTGCAGAAGAGACGAGAAAATATTTGCAAGACGTTGGAACTGAAAACTGACAATACCTCATACTCCGAAATGATTCAGCGGCTTGTCAAGAGATATCTGTTTAAACTAGAGCGAGCAAAAGATGAGAAGGAGAACTGTAAGTATACTGTGATGGATAACACACAGGGTCGAGTAATGACAAACTGATATCCTTAAAGCTGAGCAATTGATATTGACAAAATAATATCCTTAAAGCTGTGCTATTGATATTGACTAAATAATATTCTTAAAGCAGTGTTATTGATATTGCAAAATAATATTCTTAAAACAGTGTTATTGATAAAATTATGTTCCAAACGCAGTTTAAATGATATTGACAAAATAATGTTCTTAATGCAGTGTAATTGATATTGACAAAAAATTTCACAAAACGTTACTTTGGTGGTTATTTATATTGTTGATAACAAAGTTCTAGACAATATAGTGTGGTAGATCAACAAAAACATGTTCACAATAAACTGATGTTTTCTTTAAATTTACTTTAAATGATGTTGTGATGTAATAAAGTATATAGCATTGTAACTCTTCACATTGTGCTGATATCACCCCAGATATATATAGGTTAATGTCCTCTTACAATGTATATTTGTCGAATCGTGTTTCTGTGGTTTTTCGTAGTCGTATTATTTGCACTACTATGTCGAATTGGATGGTGTGTAATGGTGTTTATATCATTAACAGCTGTGAAATCATATAGCTGCTCATTACATGTAAATTTTATAGTAAAAGAAGGCGGGCCAAACATACGATCTGAGGAAGTTGAGATCGCCGACACCCATGACACGCCCCCTCCAGTACCCAATGCGCCCAACCGAATTCAATATGCCACTCCCCCTACTATACACGAGGAGGAGGAGGAGGGGGTTCATATCGGCAGCAAATGTACGTATAATGATCGTAAGTATGCCAGAGAAGACGTTACAATTCATTGCTACTGTACCTGTCGCCTCCATTTTCTATATATGATTTATAAGATATTCTGAAATGAAAAAACCTTTTTGTTTAGGTATGTCCCAGGTAAGTAGCACTGTGTGTTTAAACAAAAACACTTACATAACCCATAACACATTTAACTTCACAAAAACATCGAAAAATAACACTACAAATTTTATTATACAGCGAAAACAGTTGTATACACTGATGATGATAACAAAATTATGTAAATAAAGTACCCGCTGCATAGCATTGTATAGTTTTTAGATATGATACAAACATAGATGTTTTTGTGATAATGTATGTTAACACGTGTATAACATATCTACCAATTTTCATTTAAGATATTTCTTACTTACAGTACATATAAACACAGGCTACACATGTTAACCATGAGTAAATGTAGCAGAAACACGTTAATGGCTACAACTTCACATATAATTATTATGTGTTTTTTTTTTCATTTCACAAAGATTTTATTGAATGAATCAAATTCAAAAGGAATCGTTAACAGGTAGAATCCTATACAAGACCAGATGAATTGATCTCAAGCGATTCATAATCACGAATAACCAACAGCTCACCAACATAGCATCAATACAAAACATTATTGTTTTCTTCCTTATATGGCATGTATGTAAAACGTAGTAACTAAACATTAATTCAATCGTACTTAAATCATCCCAGTCTGGGTAACAAATGCTGGCTTGTTTTACGTGTTGTAGCTTGCAGAGCGCCGCCCCCTCGGCGGAAAGGTGTTAATAGACGAACGTCCAACCCGGCGGCGCCAGCCCCTACAACATTGGTTATTCCACAACTTGATGCCATCCAACGATCGCAGAAACTCCTTGATGTGCGCTTACAACACCTTCAAACAAATAGCAAAATGAATACAAAAATTATTGACGATATAGAATTTTTGAGGAGAGTAATGAACGAAAATCAGAAAGCGTTGTGCAACATAATTCAAGCTTTAGGAAGTATGCAATGTGAAATTGTGAACTTGGTCAAATGTTTTGCGCCAGTTCCTACACAGAACCAGAATAATGTGACCAACACTCACTCTCAACAGAACTCAATCCACAGATTTGGTAGTGGAAAGAAACGTCCAAGTCATGTGACTGACGATGACGAGAGTGAGGTGTGAGTGTTATCACGGGTATTTATTCAGGTTTATCACAGGGACAACTTTATCTATTGTTGTTTTCTTCATATTATATGTAATATGATATTCATGAACAATTCTACTTGCAAAAGTATTTACTCTATTAATGCACCGTATACCTTTTAGATTTAATACTTTGTTAGCACATATCTCAATAGCTTAAGTTATTCATGAAAGATCAGTGTTAAATGTATGGGAACTGGAATCAGCAAACATCACTATACCAGTTTTACATAAGGGATGCTTTTTATATAAAATAGGAGATATTTAATTTCTTTTAAATGACAAATAATTTCAATATTTAAATCCAAATCGCCAAAATCTGTGGATGTTAACCCGAGAGTTAATTATTCATCACATGATCATTGAAATATCGAATCACGTGATCATAGGTACACATTATAGAAACATGGATATCGATGCATCTACATTGTGGCCGAGCGCAGGTCGTTCAATGCCAGCATTTCCTTCGTTAGTTAAGGCCCATTCGGGATTGTGTAATACTGTTTGAGATTATGTGTTGAGGAGGATGTGATATGTTGTATACAGATATAGCAGTTGTGGCAATAATTTGAGATTATGTATTAGAATTAGATATTATTTAGTCGTATTGAAGTTTCATATATATGTCACAGGTGAGTTGATATCAACTTATTTCTAGTTTTTTCACGATCCAAAGCGAACCGTTTGAGTGTTTAGTACATAAAGATAGTAGATATTTTGTTAATGTAGGCATGTCGTTGTCGACCTTTCACTAGATATTTGACCTTCACGAGATATTTAGTGATTGATATATGCCAGATTTTATTATCGACGTTCATTAGATATATTTGGTAATTCACTTACATAAGATAACTGGTGATTGCAATACACAAAATATTTGGTTATTGAAGTGCAATAAACATTTTGTTATCAACATTCACTTTATCTTTTTTCTATAAACGTACGCTTGGTATTTGGCGGGTTTTCAATGCACTATATTGTATAATCAATGATTTTATGGGTTTTTGAAATGCACTAAATTTTATAACTTTCGCACATATAATATTGAAATAATGATGCACACTTAATATTTAGTTATTGAAGTGTGTTAGTTATTCCCCTTTACTAAATGTTCAGTTATTTACACACAGTTAATATTTAGTTACTGACATACACAACTCTATATATTTAGTTATTGGCGTACAGTAAGTATTTAGATATTGAAGTGCATTAATGTTTTGCTATTTTACACTAAATAGTTTTTGTTATTGAAATGCGCTTAAAATTCATATGTTCTTGATGTTGTTCTGAAATATCGGAAATGTGAAATTCATTATATTATGGGTCTAGTACATGCCCCCGTCTAGACTTAGACCTTTGACCTTTGATTACTTTGGATTTTCTCGCCTGCAAGGCTACAGAATTTTGGCCCAAACATCACTGACGAGTCCCAGGAGTACGAAACAGCTGTATGATGTAGCATCATTGATGAGTCCTACAAGGACGAAACAGCTGTATGATACAGCATCACTGACGAGTCCTAGGAGTACGAATTACCTGTATGATGTAGCATCATTGACGAATCCTAGAAGGACGAATCAGCTGTATGATGTAGCATCATTGACGAGTCCTAGGAGTACGAATCACCTGTATGATGTAGCATCATTGACGAGTCCTAGAAGGACAAATCAGCTGTATGATGTAGCATCACTGACGAGTCCTAGGAGTACGAATTACCTGTATGATGTAGCATCATTGACGAATCCTAGAAGGACGAATCAGCTGTATGATGTAGCATCATTGACGAGTCCTAGGAGTACGAATCACCTGTATGATGTAGCATCATTGACGAGTCCTAGAAGGACAAATCAGCTGTATGATGCGGTTAAATCCATTTAGTTTGACTCTACTTTATATAACTCTAATATTTTTAATATCATAAGGTGCTATTAAATGATGTTGTTCACTTTTGTTTCCAACCTGTATGCATTGACATACACTAGATAGTTACGTATCAATGTACACTGGACGTTTTGGTATTGGTGGACACTAATTACCGAATTATTCAGTGTTAAATCATTGACGCACGCCTGATATGTGTTAACTTAAATTCAGTTATCACTTCAGTATCAGCGCACACTAGATATTTGGTTGTTGACGTGCACTTTGGTGGTTGCCCGACAGGCACTAGATATATTTATAGCATAATGATGTGAAATAAAATAGACACAGAATTGAATAACACTTAGCAATAAAAATTTAGAATTACATACAGTACTGCCAAACAATCAAGTAAGCTATATCAAAGAGATGTAGAAAATAACAAATACATTGGCATATCGGTTTTAATCTCTCTGAATTATGACTCGTGATAAATTATGACTCGTGGCTGCACGTTACGACTGATACTGGTGGAAAAAAACCTCAGCAGTTCTCTCCTGATCTTTTGCTTGATACTTTTACTGGTGGACCAGCATGCGATGAAGTTATTAAATCGGTGTTTGTGTATTAACCTTTACCTGGTTTATATAGTTCCCAGTACTAGTGAATCAATCCTTTAATTCTGGTGAAAGACCTCAATTACCTGCATATTTGTGACTTAAATTTTGTATGATGAATTACTTAACACAGTATAATCGTAAATCATTTATCACTTTTGATTTTGGGTTTGATCGGATAAACAAAATGGAGGACACGCAGCCATGTTGAATTTTGACGAGGAAATTCTGTTATCATCATTTTCAACATCTCCCTTGCTCCCTATAGTTGTTTCTTTTTCTATTTACGAACTGTCGAATGTTGTAATCCCGTGTTTTACTCTCGGTTTCCTGTTTAATCCCCCTCGCCTCAGAGGCGACTCAGAAATATCCAAAGTCATCGAAAGAAGAATCAACTCTAAACGGAAGGTGTGCTTGTCCCATTCAACAACTTAGTTTTCATATATCTGACAGGTCATCAACAATGGAAAGTTCAAGTGTATATTTTGAATCATGCCACTACTGAATGAATTGAAACATGCAGTTTTACAACGCATGATCAGACAAAACACTTAAATAACACAAACATTCCCGAAAGCATCGCCACGCCAACAACCATGTAATACTCTTCTCGTGCAAACAGTACGATACCATGTGAAATGCGATCTGATCTGTCAGTAGGGGTTACATTATCACCTTATCAAATAATGTCTGTCAGTAATCAGAAAAGTATGAAATCTCTTCAGAGCTACAAACGTCAGCCATTAGCGATATGTCATCGAGTGCTGAGCCTGGATAAGGCTACATGACCCTTCCTTAATGTGTTCCAGTCGTTTCCGTTGTCCTATCTGCTTCTACCGGATCGACACCTCATGTCAGCATTCTCATCATCTTTTTTAAGCTTTTCAATTCAAAAGCAATGCATTTGACAACTTCATACAACACGCTTGAGGTGTGACCAAATTTTTTACAACATGTACCAACAAACACTTTCGTAAATTGTTCGGAATAACTATCTGATATCCTCTTCCTGAAAAATGAAAACAAAAATTTTAAATTGCTTAATTTTAGAATGTTTATATTGTAATAGTTAAATCTTGAAATTTCATTTCTGTTGCCTGATAAAGCTCGCCGACAGCTGTCCCGTATGTGTGAGGTAATGTACAGTGTTACAAAGTGACACTACTTTGTACTGCAGAGACAACTGAAAGTGCATTTTAAAATGGTTAATGTGAGAATAAGGACTGGTTGTCTGCTTTGTTGCTTGCATGGGCTGATGAAGGGAAGGGAACCGCGGGTACCTGCTTCGCAGTGAAACGCGGGTACCTGATTAACAGTGAACCCTGGGTACCTGCTTCGCAGTGAACCGCGGATACCTGCATCACAGTGAACCGCGGGTACCTGCTTCACAGTGAACCCCGGGTACCTGCTTCACAGTGAACCGCGGGTACCTGCTTCACAGTGAACCCTGGGTACCTGCTTCACAGTGAACCGTGGGTACCCGCTTCACAATGAACTGCGGGTACCTGCTTCACAGTGAAACCCGGGTACCTGCTTCACAGTGAACCGTGGGTAAATGCGGTCACGGAAAGGAAAAAATACATGCAAGATCCTGTGTAGTTAAATAGAGCTTTGAGTACTCGGGTATTTACTAAAACGCCTTTTTCTGTCCTGAACATGCTGAAATAATATTTGCCATGTCAAACACGCTAAGACTTTTTAAATTTCGTCCTTATTGAAAACAATAAGTAATATTGAACAGTTTAAAAAGTTATTTCGGCACATTTTCTCTGGGTTGGTAATATCAAGGGAATAAAAGCTCTTACAACACAACCAGTAGAAGCTGGTCATCTTAATCAGACAAATCAACTCTGTCTGATGAAGATAACCATGGAGTCATCGTCACACTCTAATCTTCTACTGGCTGTGTTATAAGATGAAGGTAACCGTGTAGTCATCGTCACACTCTAATCTTCTACTGGTTGTGTTATAAGATGAAGGTGACCGTGTAGTCATCGTCACACTCTAATCTTCTACTGGTTGTGTTATAAGATGAAGGTGACCGTGTAGTCATCGTCACACTCTAATCTTCTACTGGTTGTGTTATAAGATGAAGGTGACCCGTGTAGTCATCGTCACACTCTAATCTTGTACTGGTTGTGTTATAAGATGAAGGTGACCCGTGTAGTCATCGTCACACTCTAATCTTCTACTGGTTGTGTTATAAGATGAAGGTGACCGTGTAGTCATCATCCTCTACTGGTTGTGTTATAAGATGAAGGTGACCGTGTAGTCATCGTCACACTCTAATCTTCTACTGGCTGTGTTATAAGATGAAGGTGACCGTGTAGTCATCGTCACACTCTAATCTTCTACTGGTTGTGTTATAAGATGAAGGTGACCTTGTAGTCATCGTCACACTCTAATCTTCTACTGGTTGTGTTATAAGATGAAGGTGAGCGTGTAGTCATCGTCACACTCTAATCTTGGTTGTGTTATAAGATGAAGTTGAGCATGTAGTCA